TTCCTCAGTGAAACTTATGAAATTTGAAAGAAATTGACTGAGAGACTTACATCTACATAACCAAACCTTTGTAGGGTATCTTGAAAATATTAGAAAAAGTTACATATTTTACTGCTGCCAATGCACAAAACAGGACAAGAAAGTAAAATATTACGTAGACATCTATTCCATAATGTCCTCAATGCAGTGGTCTCAATTTCTCAAAGGAAATGACTGATAAATATTGAAAGAATTTTATTTACAATGTTGCTTTCTCACAGTACATAAAAGAGGAAGTAAGACAGATGCTTCACTGGAAAGGTTTATAGGACTAGGAGAATTGGATGAGGGTTGGGTGATATTGCAGCTTCATAACTTTTTTTTTTGAGTTGGATTCTCACTCTTGTTGCCCAGGCTGGAGTGCAATGGCATTGTCTCAGCCACCGCAGCCTTTACTTGCTGGGCTTAGGCGATCCTTCCACCTCAGCCTTCCAAGTAGCTGAAACTACAGGCACATGCCATCACGCCCGAATAGTTTCTGTGATTTATTGTAGAGACCAGGTCTTACCAAGTTTCCCAGTCTGGTCACGAATCCCTGGGCTCAGGCAGTCCTCTCATCTCAGTCTCCCAAAGTGCTGGGGTTACAGACTGAGTCACCGTACCTGGCCCATAACATTTCATATATTATTTTTAGTTCTTTTTTTTTTTAATGGTTGTCATGGGCCAGATTTGAATTCATGGGTGCCTGGGGAGAGGGATAGTAATAGTTAAGGCATAATATTCATACCATTACATTTAACTGCATGCATTTTCAGTGATACTTTAGGGTAGGTTGCCATTTCACCCATGTAGCAAATTCAGAGCTAACTGTGAGTAGAGTCTACTTAATAAATGGCAGGGGCAGTTCTGTGATACTTTAGATGTCAAACCCAGTAACCGCTGCCTGGAAGTGGGGCAGAGGAGAAGCATTACCAAAACTGTTGTGACTGCCTGTCCTTTGGGTGAAAGCTATAGTTGAAATTGGACCATGAGACATGAGTATGGTCAAAACAAGTAATAAATGAAAATGAAGGGAGGTCATGGCAACTGGAGAGAACACTCCTAAGTCGTTCACGATGACAGAGAAAAATTTTTATGACAGCAAGAGAATAACTTAAATCTGGTACTGATTAATGGCCAACAATGGCTTAAAAATTCCACTGATAATTTGATGAATAGAAGTGATGCAATATCCCTTTTGCCTTCAACTCACTGTGACCCAACCAGAGATATCATTCTATGCATTTTATGGTTCATTGGCTATATTTATCATTCTAATTATTTTTTCAGATGACCTCTTAGTATTAGTGTTAATGGATCATTCAGGGAGAGACTGCTGAAAAACTACTCTCCTTTTATACTGAAAAAAAAAATGATGTGTTGACAAGACACATGTTTGGGTGTGGTAGGAAGCAGATGAATTCTATCAAATGTGAATACAAATGACATGATTTTAAGTAAAACAAAGGAACATGGTCAGACTGAAGATAAGTGACTTTGGGTGTAATAATATGTATCAGTAATGCTGAAGACCCTCTAGGGATATGCAATTCCCTTATGTGAGACATATTATGGCATTTACAAACTGACCCGTTCTTAGGAATGGAATATAACTGGCAAGTTTCTAGAGTACACAGCACTGGGAAATGTATAAGATATATTTCAATTGCACCTATCTTACTGTTATGTAATAGTTTGATCTGCAGGCTCCACTTTGCCAGATACCCTTCAGAAATATTAAGATTGAAAGTGAGTCTTGAAGTGCCAAGTCAGGTGAAAATCACATTTCTACAGAGTCATTATCATGAGGAAAAGGACTTGCTAATCCAAATAGAAGCATCAAGGAGTATATTTTCTAGGAAACTGAAAAACTTCTGCATATCGACTTGGGAAGAGAATAAGACAATTTGTAAGTGAACTGATCAAATAACAGATGAAACACCATATCTCTCAATAGGGCTTAGAGGAAACTTGTATCCTTACTCAGGAAGGATTATTAAATATTCTTATCATTTAGAATATTATATTGCTAAAGATCTGTGACCAGAGGTACCAGTAGACTTGGATGGGGAGAAAGTGGTGCATTTACAATCATATGATGAACCTAATTGTAGCAGAACATTGCTGGACAATGGAGCCATTTATCACTGGTCTCCAAAAGCAGTTGTATAACTATGAAGGGAACACATCTTCCTTACAGTACAATTGGTTAATAATAGACAAACTAATAGAAAAATAATGTGTTGTTCCTATTGAGAGGGTAGATGGGTATGCTACACATTGAAACCAGTTTCTGTAGACATGATTACAGAAGCTTTACTTAAAAATGTCCTCAAAAGTCACCACCTTAGTTACTGGGAATATGTGGTACCAGAGAAGAGGTTATTAGAGTCAAAGCATAAAGAACGATATTGTACTTTTTATTGATGTGTGTGTCAACCATTGCTTTTAGGTATAGGTATAACAAATGTTTAGCAAAGTCATTTATAGAATTAAATGAAAACCAGACCTGTGCAGACGAGGTATATTGAAAACCTTAAATTACGTAATACTTTGGGAAACTGATTGACCAGGAAAAGCAGTACATTTGACTGGAGGAAAATTATACACACCATTAAAAACCTTTATCCACACCTAAAGGTTTAAAACACATCGCTATACACTTACTTTAAAGATAGCTTGTCATTTCAGTTTTACATAGCTCTTCACCAAAAGAGTATATTTAAGTATTTTACTCAGATTTCAAGCAACCTTATTTTTGTTTGCCTACTTTTTATTTATTTATATTTCAAAAGTGGAGTATCACTAATTCTTTAATTTCCAGATATAAGATTTCATATTCCTTGGACCAGACTACTTTATTGATATACAGCCCAGGGAAAAAGAAGGTAAAATTATTTGTTATCTCTTTAGGCAGTTATGCAGATTTTTTCTATTTTGATTTTTCATTGGGTTTGTAGACATTTTATGATATAGGCTTTATGCTAGTGTGTTGGTCCAAATTTTTTCCCTGAGACCTATATTCTGTCTCTATGCGAATATTAAAACCTAAACTTCCTGATTATATAGTTTGACAACCTCCTCATTCTTTCCCTCTATATTTTATCTCTACTCACTCACTTAATCTATTTCAGGCAACTCGGGATTTGCTTTTATTTCCTATGAGAGTAGTAATGCACTTAAGTAGAGTATATATATGTAAATACATATACATATATGTAAATACATATGTACATATATGTAAATACATATATACATATATTTTATCTATAACTTCTAGATGCTTTTAAATCATATTTTAAAACATATCTTTATCCATCATGGTTCTAGAATACAGAGTTTCATATTTATGATGTGTTATATGATTTCTCATCCTGTTAATTGTTTTAACCTTAGATTCCTCTTAATATTTAAAAATAGAAATCACTGCTTTGTATATTGGTTTGGAGGAGACTATAATGACTATAGTTGCTTCTTCATTTTCCTGAGAATTCACAGATATTATTTTTATTATCCTCTAAAATGCAATTTTATGTAGCTTATGTTCATTACAGGTTGAGTTTTTAGAAATTCGATTTTCATCATCTTTTAATACATACTAATTATGTAGGCTAAATATTGTGTCAAAAAGGCCACAAATATATGGTGACAAATGCATTTTTCTCATGCATGGCTGATAGTCTCTGCCATCTACAATCTGTGGTTTCAGAGGTTACTCTGGAAATTAGTCCCCAACAGGGAAGAGACAAAAGAACACAAAAGTTCCCTCATCAACTTACAAAACTGGTGATTTGTTTGATTAGAATTGGTTTTATGGCTAGAACTTCCAGACAAATTTCCTTCCTAAACATAGTTATTAGATTTGCCTGTTTCTTACTTCTTTTAGTTTTTGTAACTAAATGGAGGCTACTTTATGTCTAGCTGAAGCAAAGCTTTGCTAAAAAGGAGACACTCATAGCATGATTCATACACAAGACTGAATTTTTAAACTGAGAAGTCATAGTTTTTTTTCTTAAAGTCTTTTTCATCTTATTTATTCATTTTATTCTTGTTTAAGACTTGGAAGCAGGTGAATTTTCCAAATTTTCTAAATTACAATTTTCTCCATCCTCTTTAATCCCTTTGATTTCTGCTCTCAAATCAACCATTCTACCTCAAGCTTATGCCCATTTTGCAATATCTTTCTGGAAAGTAGCAAATAATAATGAACACTCACTACTGGCTTTACCCAGTTACTACTCCTGAGCTATTATCTCTGTTGACTCTTAGTCTGCCTTTCAAATCAGACCTTACAAAATGTTTCCCCACTTTATTACATAAATTTTTATGTTCCTCACTGCTTGCAAATGTCACATATCTTTGGTTTTTGTTATAATAACTAACTACTTTAAGATGATTCCATAAAAATAGCCCAAATACAGCCAAACTTTAATTTTTTTGCTTTATAAATGGTTTATGGAGTTTTCAATTTGGTGGTGATTGTGGGGGACTCCCTATAGGTCTTTGGAGAAGTTGGCCTTCACAAGTTCACTCATCATTAACATGAAACTTACAACATCATTTAGGCCTGGACATCTGACTGATAGGTGGAGAAAAAGGATACTGGATCAAGTACCGAGTAGTTTTATAGGCCAGGTCTAGAAATGGTTCGTATTACTTCTACATCCATTCTATTGGCTGTAACGCAAAGAACGTTGCCACTCCTAACAGTGTGGAAAAAACTGTGGAAAAATGTAGTCTACTATTTCTAGGGATAACAGTCAAATAGCACTTTCAGCTAGGCTGTGAAAGTAAGCATTCTCAAAGAGCTTGGTTTTAATGATTAAATAATGGAATACAGTTCACAGTAAGCAAGTTCAAAGGGAAATTGCAAATGTCAATATGACTGGTGAATAAGGTATACAGAAAAATCATGTCAAACGCTTCAGGTTTTGTGCTCATTCTTCTTTTCTTTTAGTTGGATTCATCAACTCAATTTTCCTTTACATCTTTGAGAGGAATGCAAGTTTTTTAATTGAATCACTGAACGCTTGCTTCACTTGCTTGTTTCTTAGTGTGTAAATAAAGGGATTCAACATTGGTGAAATAGAGGTAATAAGGAGTGAAATCCCTTTATTAATAGCCACTTCATCCTTTGCTGAAGGTTTGACATAAATGAAGATGCAGCTGCCGTAAGTAATAGAAACAACAATCATGTGGGAAGAACAAGTGGAAAAGGCCTTTTTCCTTTGCTGGGCAGAGGGGATTCTTAGAATACTTCTGAGGATGTAAATATAGGAGAGAACTACACACATGAGGGTGATAATGAATGTCAGCACAGCACACACTATCACCATCTGTTCTATGAACCATGTGTCTGAGCAAGAGATCTTCAGGATAGGAGAGGCATCACAGCAAAAATGATCAATAATGTTTGAATCACAGAATTCCAGGCCCAAACCCAGACTAATTGGTGGGAGAATGATGATCAGTGCTGCTACCCAACAGAAAAGGAGGAAGTTCTTACAGACTCTGCTGTTCATGATGGTCATGTAATGCAGTGGTTTACAGATAGCCACATAGCGATCATAGGACATGGTGGCCAGCAGAAAAAATTCTGTGACTGCAAAGAGGTCTGTAAACAACAGTTGACTGGCACAAGCATCATAGGTAATAGACTTGTCCCCCGAGGATAGGCTGTACAAAAATCTGGGAACACAAGCAGTTGTGAATGAAATTTCAAGGAAAGAAAAATTTTGGAGGAAAAGATACATAGGTGTTTTAAGGTGGGAATCAATCAGAGTGAGGGTGATGATGGTTAAGTTTCCAGATACACTCAACATGTAGGAAAGAAATAGAAAGATGAAAAGCAGAATTTGTAGCTGAATGTCATCTGTCAGTCCCAGCAAGATGAATGTTGTTATTGCTGTTTGGTTCCTCATGCTTGATACGTGTCTGTTGCCCAATCTGCTTGAAACAATAAGAAAACTTAACTTCTAACTTCAAGAGAAGAAAAATTGAGAGTGATTCCTACATAACTGGTAAATGGTGAAGCAAACACGCAACACATGGTGAGGTTTAATCACCTCCTCTTTGTATCACACAAACTACTCATATTTCAACCACACATTTCATACCACTGCTTTTAATGAATATACAATCTGGTTATAATTGGTGTATGTTCAACATATTATCTTATAAGCATAACTGAAAAATATGTCCCCTTTCAATACGTTGTTTTTGAATCACAAACCTGACTTCCTAATTTCCTATCCTCAGATATGTTTTTAATAAACAAATCCCCAAATAAACTAACAATGGTCTTTGTTGAGAAAATATCAACATTCAAGTTCACATGTGTATTAGTTATTAAACTGACAATAGATACTTAGCATGCAGTTGCAGTCCAGTTTCTCTGAGGTGTGTTTAAAACATGTTTACTGGATATATTTCCTTAAAGTTTTATTTAAATATGTTACTGTTCAAATTTTTCAAGATAGAAAATGATTTAAGGGGTGTTAGGAAGATGGTGACTGAGCCAGTCAGATTATGGGAGTCCCAGTGTGAGTGAGTGAATGTATGGAAAATTTTGTGTATGTGTTGGTGAGTGGCTGACTGAGTGAGGGGCTCAGGAGCAAATGGCCAGGGCTCTCCTGATGCAGTGGCTGGGGCTGCACCTGCTTGGCTTGGACCTTAGTGAGCACCATTTTTTTTTTAATTCAACAAAACTCTTCCTGGGAAGAAGATGATGGGAGAGACTGACTAGTGGGAGCTCATGAGCTAGTGATCAGGGCCCTCCTGGTGAAGCAGCTGGTGCTGTAGCTGCTCTGTTTGGTCTCTAGCACTTCCTGGGTCACAGAAGCTGAGTGCCACTTTTTTTAACTTACAAAAGTTTTCTGCAAAGAAATGGCAGGGAGAGACTGCCGGCTCTAGGCGTTGCCTCACCACTGCAGCACCTGGTTGGACACTGAAAGCAAGGGCTACGAAGGGAGCCCAGAGGCAGAGTCCCGCTGGAGAAGATGAAAGAGGTACCTCACCACCATTTTGAAAATGAGGCAAGAAAGGGCTCTGACTTGCTCACCACAATCTCTGTGACCAGGCAGATCAACTACTCAGGGGTTGATTGTGGTCCAGAGGGAAAATGCTGAAAGCACAAACTTCAGAGGGATAGGACAAGTGCTGAGTCTCAGGCGCTCTACCCCCTGATTCAGAAACAGGAAAAAGGGTGTGGCCAGAAAAGGTTGAGGAAGACCTCCAAAGAGATCAGTGGTGAGTCCAGGGCTGACCCAACACCCCTCCTCCCCAGAAATCCTCTGAACATCAGACCCACGCAGCTGGGACACAACCAAGAGGGACTAACTCAGGCAGAGCCTGGATGTCAGTCACAATAGGAGAGCTCCATTCCAGGACAGGTCTGGCTGGGGCACCCCCTCATGAGTACATACCTGGGTAAGAGACAATCTCGCTCCTCCCCACCAGAGGGAATGTCCCTGACCATACAAGAGTGGGAGGGGAGGATTGCAGTCCCACCCACCTCCACTGCCCCTCCTCCTCCTTCCTGGGTCCAGACACAGGGGAGAAAGTGAAAGAGGCAGAAACTCTGCAGGAGATAGCAGAGAGTCAGACAAGGGGAACAATTACAGAACCTGTCACAAGAGGGTAGGGTAATTTTAAAATTTGTTTTGCCTGTTTGTTTGTTAGCTTTTTTATTTTTAAAATATTTTTCCTTGGTGTATGAATGTGTATGTCTGCATCCCCCACCCCCTCTTTTATTTTCTTTCCTCTTTGGGTTTTGTTTTCTGTTTATGTGTGTATGTGAATGATTGAGTGTTCATCTTTCAGGGTTTTTTTTTTTGGTACTTTTTTGTTGGTTTCTTTTTGCTCTTTTGCTCATCTCTCTCTCTTTTAAGTTTAGGTGTCTGTGAATATATGTGTGAGAGTTCAACTTTCATTCCTAATTTTTCCCCCAGTCTTTCTCTTTTTCATCTCTATTTATTTTTTGTGAGGGGTGTGTGTGTGTTTAGTTTTCCCAGCTTTTTTGTGTTTTTTTAATGGTTTTATTTTACTTTGTTGTTATTCCAGCTTGTTTTGGTGTGTGTGTGTGTCTGTGTCTGTGTTTGTTCAATTGTTTTTTGCTTTAGTTTCTGCTTTCATTGTTCCTTGCTATTTTTTTATTTTTAAAAATTGTTGTCCATCTTATTTTATTCTATTTTTCTGTGTTCTCCTCATTGCTGCTACTGTATCTTGGAATCAGGGGGTACACACACATACCCACTGCACCATCATGCAGAGTGGTGGTGGGAAGTGGGTCTCAGGGAACATATACCACAATCAGTGAGCATTGTAATTTGCAAGTATCTTCTGACTCCTAGCTCCCCATCCACTACCTTATTCGACTTTCAAAACTACAAGAGACAGCAAAGCTTCCCACCCACAGTCCTATTTCAAAATAGAACAAATCCAGACCTCAGATCACGGAAGAATAGAGGGCTGAGCAAACATCAGAAGTGAAAGCCTCTCCCACTGACACTGAATAACAGAGCTAAAGGGAAAAGCAAAAAAGCTGTCACAAATGAGAAAAAAACCAATGGTGAACCACAGGTAATTTCAAGTGTAACAAAGAGAAACACCTGAAAAATCAAACCTTGGAACCCAAACAATGGAAGTCACCAACTACTGGCCCCAGAATATGACAGGGATTAGGGAATGGATGGAAGGAGTGAATAAGACTCAAGAAAGATAAGATGCAACACTGAAAGAACTTGTAACAGAGATTTTGGCCATAAAAAATATCATCCACAAAATAAATAACAAGATGACAAGCATAGACAGCAGAATTAATCTAGCCAAAGAAAGAATCTCAGAACTTGAAGACCAGAACATGGAATTAACCTGATCTGTAAAAAACATAGAAAGAAAACTCAGAAGGAAAAAACAAAGCCTATAAGAGATGTGTGATTATATCAAGTGGTTGAACCTAAGCCTGATTGGTATCCCAGAAGAAGAAAGGGAAATAGAGCAAGTATTCCAGGAGGTTATCCAAGAAAACTTTCCCCATCTCACCAGAGATGTAACCAGTCAAACACAAGAGATACAGAGAACCCCCACAAGACATCATGAGAAGACCAGCCCCCTAGACACATGTCAATTAGCCCACACAAAGTAGGTACAAAAGAAAAAAATTCTAAAGGCAGCAAGAGAGAAAAGTCAGACTACTTACAAGGGAAAAACCAATCAGAATAGCAGCTGACCTATTGGCAGAAACACTACAAGCAAGAAGGGACAGGAGTCCAATATTTAAAGTCCTCAAAGATAAACAATTAAAACCAAGAATTTCCTACCCAGCCAAGCTCAGCTTCATCAGTGATGGAGAATTATAATACTTCCCAGACATTCAGTCCCTCAGAGATTATGCAGCTTCCAGACGAGCTCTATAGGAGACACTTAAAAAGGTATTAAGCACAGAAGAAAGAAAAAAAAGTGACCACACACCTCCCAAGACAACAGCAGAGCACAGAGTCAACAGACAATACATTGCAACAACTAACTTAAGAAAACACGCATACATCAACCCCAAAGCTAAAAGAAAACAAGCAAACAAACAAATAAAAAATTTTATAAGAACCTCATGACAGGGATAAACAATCACATTTCAATAATCAGCCTGAATGTGAATGGACTAAATGCACCACTGAAAAGACACAGAATGGCAAACTGGATAAGAAACCATGACCCAATAATTTGCTACATCCAGGAAGCTCATCCCACCACAAGGACCATACCCAGACTAAAACTTAAAGGATGGAAAATGAGTTTCCAGGCAAATGGATCACAAAAGAAGGCAGGAGTTTTGAACTTAATATCAAGCAAAACAGTCTTTAAGCTATCAAACATTTAAAAAGATATGAAAGGACACTACATAATGATAAAAGTTTCAATCCATCAACAAGAAATATCAATCCTAGAATTTTATGCACCCAAAAAGGAGCACAAACATTTGTAAAGCAATTACTAAGTAAACTAAAGAAAGATATCGACTCTAACACTATTACACTAGGGGACTTGAATACCCCACTAACTGCCGTAGATAGTTCATTGAGGCATAAAATCCACAAGGAGATCCAGAACCTCCACTGGACACATGACCATATGGACTTTATAGATACCTACAGAATATTCCATCCAAAAATCAAAGAATATACATTCTGCTCATCACCACATGGAATGTACTCCAAGATCAATTACATCCTTGGCCATAAATCAAGCATAAGCAAATTGCATAAGGTTGAAATATTGCCATGCATCTTCTCAGATCACAGTGGAATAAAAATAAATATCAAAACCAACAAAATTTCCCCAAAGTCCACAAAGACATGGACTTCAAACAGCATAATGTTGAACAACTACTGGGTCAACACTGAAATCAAAACAGAAATTAAAAGTTTCCTGGAAACAAATAAAAATGAAGAACTATCTTACCAAAACATCTGGGATGCCATGAAATTAGTTCTAAGAGGGAGATGTATACCTCTACTAACACGCATCAAGAAAATGAAAAGATCAGAAGTTGAGAGCCTAACAAATTACCTAAGGGAGCTGGAAAGAGAAGACCACCAAAACCCCAACTTTAGTAGAAGAATCCAAGTTACTAAAACAAGAGCCCAAATATGGGACATAGAAGACAAAAATATCATTAAAAACATCATCATCATCAACAACAACAACAACAACAACAGCAACAACAACAAAAAAACTGGTTCTTTGAAAGAATTAACAAGATTGATGGGCCCCTAGCCAGAATGACCAAGAAAAAGAGAGAAAAAGCCCAAATAAACACAATCAGAAATACAAAAGATCAAATCACAACTGACTCCAAAGAAATGCAAAAGAATATCAGAGATTAATATGTATACCTGTATGGAAACAAACTTGATAATCTAAA